TATTTTGTTATATAATTGGTAGGCTTGGTAGGTTTATCGAACTCTACTGTAGAGGGTAAAACTCCCTCCTTGTATGCCTCTCTCTTCCTAGTCTCACCCTCTTTTCTCTCCTAAACTTTCCTAGTCCAAAACCCTCACGTCATTCCATGGCTTCCTACCGTTCCTACTAGCCTAGCTTTCTTAACACTATTTGCTGACGTCATTCTACGGATGCTAACTACAGTGTACGTCGACAATATCTATCGGAACTATTTACAGAAATGCTTAATTACGATATTCTCAGAAATGCTAGAAGTCTGATAGTGTCACTTGTTGATAAGTCCGTAGAGTTCGTTGCAGTACTGGAACTTTTGACGTGTCAGCTTCTTGGTGAGAAAATATGCAGCCATTTTATTGGTCGAACAGTAGACCAAACGCATTCTCCCTTTCTTGACTTCATCATTGACGAAGAAGTACCGCAGCGAAATGTGTTTCGTCCTGTTGACGAAACCAGGTTGATGCGCAATTCTGATTGCACTTTGGTTGTCGCACTGCAGGGTAAACTGTGTACTTGTCGTTAATTTCGCTTCCTCCAGTAGTTCTTGCAGATAGAGACCTTCGCGAGTAGTTGTGCAGGCAGCTATAAATTCGGCTTCAGCGGATGATAGAGCTACGAGCTCTTGCTTTGTAGAATTCCACGAGATAGTCCCAGTAGGTTCGAGACGATAGATGAAGCCGGTGCGAGATCGACGATTAGAAGTATCTGCTGCATGATTGTGAGAGTACGACCCCGTTACACCAATTTCCCTTTTCTATATCTCCTTTCTATTTCATTCCTATTTTTCTCTCATCTCATTTGGTTTGCTATTTCTTCTATTCCATTATCCTTTGGTTTCACATGTTATTATAATTATATCACCGACCAGGCTCGGGATGTACTGGCGCGCTATATCTAGCGTAATCCTGTCGTAATCCCTTAAAGCCAATAGCCTTGCGTGGCTATACGCAGGGTGATTCTATTTCTAGAAGGTTCTATTCCCTTTGGATAGGATAAACTTGGTTACCTGATGTACTTTGGAAGTATAAAAGCGCCTTGTATCAATCGATAGTGCAATCCTCGACACATTCGATCCTGTGACAATGATCAGCATCGACGTACCCGTTAAGATATAAAGTATTCGTAGTAGTAACTTGGTAGGTAAGTTCGACTTCAGGTGTCAAAATAAAAAACAGTAGTGCGCGAAGAAGATCTAGCCAATTCTCCCCCTCAGGTCGACGCAGAAATTGCGCGAGCTGGCTAGCGGTATAGGTGAGATCCGGATGACACGTTACAACTGCAAATAGAAGACAACCCAGTTGCTGCTGATAAATTTGTAGTTCAGTGCTATCGAGTGGAGCTGTATCGGGTTTGTAGTATGCTGGTAGAGATCGGTAAGGAGTGTTTACAGTTGAAGTTGTGAGATTAAAACGTGCGGCTAGCGTAGCTGTGTACTTAGAAGCTGTAAGATGAATAGCAGTTGCTGTTCGGCGAATGTTAAGCCCGAGGAACTGTGTGACTATAGGAGCGATAGTAATTTGTAGATTCTGTTGGAGTTTCTGTTCGAAGATAGTAGCGAGAGAATCTGTAGTGCTGATGTAAAGTAAGTCGTCGACGTAAGCAACGAGTAGAATGTAGTCAGTACCGTCGGTAAACAGATACATTTCCTGGTCGTGTGGAAGCTGACGAAACCCGGCAGTTAATAGCTGATGATGTAGATACTGCTGCCATAGTCGTGGAGCCTGTTTGATGCCGTAGAGAGACTTTCTGAGATGGCATACGCTGAGAGGATTAGTTTCGTAGGAATGCAGGTACGCAACCAGAATTAGAGCGTCGACAGGTGCATATAAAAATGCATTGGCGACGTCAATTTGTCGAAGTCTGAAATTCAGGTAGGCCACGATACAGAGTAGAATTCGGACACTAGTGTGTCTGCCAACGGGAGCGAAAGTCAATTTGTAGTCAAGTCCAAAAGTTTGCTCGAAGTCGCGGACGACCCATCGCGCCTTGAAAATTTCGAAGGAACCATCGGCATTTTTCTTCACGCGGAAAACCCATTTTTTGGTAAGAATCTTACTCCCCTTTGTTGCTTTCAACGCGATTAAATCCTAGGTACCTCTCTTTTCCAGAGCTGCTAACTCTCGGTCCATGGCTTCGCGCCATTTTACTCGGTGTTGACTTGTCAAATCTTGACGAACTGTTTTCGGCCCCAAAATATTACTGCTGTTTGCCTGTACTGCGACTGCAAGTCCCAATACTTGCAAACCAGTTTCTGTAAAGCGCGGACGATTTGAGTTGACACTGGAGAAGTTGTGTTTTGACCCGTGTTCCCCCCCAACTTCTTCAGGTGTTACACGTATTGATGCTTCGGAGACAACTGGCATGGGCTGCTGCTGACGATCACGTTCGTAATCAAGAACCACATCGCGAACATCTTCAGAGGCTGCTTCGTTGAGGGGGATAAATTCGGCAGTTATAGCTGACGTGGTTGGCACGGGGATGTCTGTGGCAGCTTTGGAAGACTCAGCCACGGATTCATCCTGTACATCTGCTTCGGCGTCGTCGGAAGCGAAGGCACGCGATCCTTCGAACAGCCTGGCAGGATTGGCAGCTGCAGCCTGGCGAGCATGAAAAACGGGTAAGGTGAGTCGTTCGTAGATCCATAATTTTCCACGTGTAAAACTGCTTCTCGATGCCAAGATGTATCCCCCACTTAGCCCGTTCTGAAAAATTTCCAAGTGCTGCAGTCGGGGGTCAATATTGAATGATGCACCCAAAAACTCTTAAAAGTTTGGTGTTGCTGACTGGAATATTTGCCGTCCAAACATTTCGAGTAGTAGCCTCGCTGAAAGAGATCATGTATAACTCCCCCTTAGGTCCTGCTCCAGGTAAGCTGAGGATGTCGTTGTAAACTTTCTGCATAAGTGTGTATCGAGCTGAACCCGAAAAGTGACTTGGAAAGGGTTCGCGAGGAAGATTAGCAGTTGTGCACGCGGTGCAGACTGCTGGTCTTGAAGACGGTTTCATCTCAAGAACCGAAGCTCGTATAGCATGATTATGTTTTCCCGAGGAAGGATGACCTAACCTTTGATGCCAAATATCCTCTGTTGCTTTGTGTCCAGTTGATCACAGATAAAAATCGGCGTTAGTATAAAATGAAGAAACGATAAAAGGAGAAAACGCGGGTGATTCGTCGAGTTGGCCAGTAACGAAGCGGATAAGAGGTAACTTTGTGGTGGTAATTTCTACATCGAGAGCCTCTTCCGGTTGAATAGCTAATTCTCCTTTCTCAATTTCCGTTTCTGTTGAATCTGCTACAGGTTGACCGACGAGAACCCCTGTGTCTGCTTCACTGCTACTTTGCTGCTCTGCTTCCTCGGCTTCGCTGCTGCTGCTGGGTCCCCAAGGTACTGCAGGTTTGTTTTCAAGTTGTTGTAAAGTGTCATAATAATTTTGCCATGCTGATGTATCGTCTTCGGCTGTGTTTGTTGGCCAGGAATCAAGAGCCAACATAACTGCTGCGGCTGTACGAGATCCTGTTGGAACTGCAGTTGCACGGAAGTCTATTTCAACCTTCTGAAAATCAGTTTCTTTGGGATGTTGTCAAGGTCCAAGAGATAACACTCTGTCAGAAGATCCAGAAGTCCCTTGCGACTCGAATTGAAGAACGGAGACCCCATACTGAGTGGCGGCTCTCCCGATGTAAGTATTAGTATCATTGTGATAGAGTTCGTGGTCCACTGTCTCACAATTGCCTTGTGTCCTAATCTTATGTTGCAGGAGTGGAACCATTGAAATAATATTAAAGCCAAGTCCAGCGATGAAAAGGACATTCGTTACGTGTAAGGAAAAACCGGTGTCAACAGAATCCAACATGACGCTGCCGATTGACCTTGCCATTATTCTTTGTCCATTTGCAACTGTGACAGGTACTAGACGTCGAAGCGGACACTGATGAGTAATGAAGAGCGCCTCGGCAGAGCACATGTGTTGTCCACGACAACTGTCAAGATACCAAGTGTTTGGTCCTACGATAACGCGAGTGAGATTAGCATATACTAGAGGTAAAATCATGTTCTCAGGTTGCTCGTTGGAGTTTTCGTCTTCCTCATCTTCGAAATCTGAATCTGTTGCATGAGCTGTTGTAACAATGCTAAAAACCTGTTTTCCTGATGTTGCAGGAGTTGTTGTTGGTGGATTCTGCTCCACGGGTTGCTTGAAATGCTGCGACTGCTGCTGCACTCCTCTTTTCCTATAAGCTTGAAGCTTGTTGTAATATTTGATGCTGTGTCCATCCCTTTTGCAGTAGTGACAGAAGAACTTGTTGACACGTTTTGTAGGCGTTGAATAGAAACTGATGTTAACTGCTCCCTTTTTGTTACATGCTGTCTGCAGGTCAAGATCCTGCTGCTCTGCTTGAAGGATCGAGTAAATTTCTGATTCCGAAAGATTTGGGAAGAGATCAACACTACCGCCATTCTGCTCCAAGGCCAGCAAGAAGAACTGTTACAAACATGTCCTTTGGGAGGTATCCGCCGCATTTTTCTAATTGGTCACGAAGTGTTCGAGCCCTGTTGATATAATCCGAAACATTCTCGTTGCCCTGCAACTGTACAGTTGTCAGTTGTGAGAGAATTTTACTCACGGAAATTGTGTCATGTGCCATATACAATCCCTTCAAATGCTTCCACGCAGATTCAGCTGGAGTCAAACTGGTGTGAAGAGAGCATATACCAAGCTGCTCTTTCAGCGACAGATTGCGGATAAGGACGGTGTAAGCGTTGAGTAAAGCATGAAGAAAACTCTGTTGTTCCATCTGTGTTCCCGTAACAGGATACGAGTAATCGCCACTGAAGAATGGCCATAATCCAGCGGATTTTGTGAGGAGCTCGAACTGGAAACTCCAAGCGTAGAAGTCAGCGCCATTAAAAGGTATAGTTGTCTTGATCCGCGTATTGCTTAAAAGGTTTGGTGCGTGAAAAACAGGCCCAGTAAAAGAGATCTGCTGCTGCGGAAACTACTATTGCTATTGCTGTTGTTGTTGTTGTTGTAGTTGTTGTTGTTGTTGTTGTTGTTGTTGTTGTTGTTGTTGTAGTTGTTGTTGTTGTTGTTGTTGTTGTTGTTGTTGTTGTTGTTGTTGTTGTTGTTGTTGTTGTTGTTGTTGTTGTTGTTGTTGTTGTTGTTGTTGTTGTTGTTGTTGTTGTTGTTGTTGTTGTTGTTGTTGTTGTTGTTGTTGTTGTTGTTGTTGTTGTTGTTGTTGTTGTTGTTGTTGTTGTTGTTGTTGTTGTTGTTGTTGTTGTTGTTGTTGCTGTTGCTGTTGATTTTGGTGCTGTTGGTGAAGCTGTTGTTGCGCTTGTTGCTGCTGTTGCAAAAATTGGAACTGTTGATGTTGAGCAGGCGAAAACGTGAACGAAGAACTGGAGCTTGGAGCGGCTGCAGCTCTTGCATAGCTGGAGCCATCGATACTCATACCGCTAGAAGCCGCTGATATTGATGCTGCTGCTTGTTGCTGTGATGTTGCAGGTACAGAGGACGAAGTCCTCGGTGGATGCACAGTCGGCAAGACTTGCTGTTGTTGAGGCATCGCGATTGAAGAATAAGCAGGTGGAAGGTTTCCAGCTGCAAAGTTACTTGCTTGACCAGTGATGACTATAGGATTTGTATTATCCGTAGGTCCAGTTGTTGAGGAACCAGATGATGGGGCTGACGATGGTCCAGTCATAATTGACGATAGTCTTAATTCCAGACACCTCTCATACCATGAAATAATTTGAAAGGTGGTGCAGGAGACCAAGTATAGAATCTGCAGACATAAGTACTTGAAGTAGAAAGTAATACTGAAAGTACCTCCAGTAACAGCCAGTATTAACAAGTTGTAACACTAGAGTCAGTGTTACAGCCTTGTGATACTCCAAGACTTAACCAAGGATCTTTGCTGGAATGGTAGACTAGTAAGACAGCGGAATTCTTCGAACTTGTAAGTGTTGACTAGAATTTACTCAAGAACAAGTTAACAATTCAAGTTGTACAAGCTACTTTTATATCTGCCAGAAGTACCTATTCGGTAATGTACTTGTTCAAAACTATTTGCGCTATGCGCTCTAACCGCTACTGAATAGAGCGCGACTGTTCGCGTGACTGAAACGCCTTGCTAACGTAATCATCAAGACGAGCGCTATTTGCTGACATCATTCTACGGATGCTAACTACAGTTCAACTCGACAATATCTATCGAAACTACTTACAGAAGTACGATTTTGTCACAACAAAATGAACCAATTTGGATATCTTATAAATGGAACATGTGTCTGAACACTAAAAACACAGGCTAAATAAGCATAAGGGGGCCTTAAAGTAATCCCCTCTTGAAGGGGGGGCAGTAGGCACTCTTGAAAAAGTTGGGTTGCTAGGGTGAAACAGTCAGTAAAGCTTTAGGGCTGCTCGGCAGATAGGTGTTGTGATATGATTCATACTTAGCATTTCTGTAAGTCTATTATCGATAGATAGTGTCCAATTCTACTGTAGAAGATAAGTATGTTGGATGACATCAGCAAATAGCGCTCGTCATGGGGACAGTCGTTTCAGTTACGCGAACAGACGCGTCTCTTCAGTGTCATTTAGGTCGCATAGCGCGATAGTGTCAACAGATACATTAGCGAACAGGTACTTCTTTTAGATATAAAAGTAGCCTGTCTTCATTGTTTAGTTAACGTGGTTTTGGACTTAATTCTGAACTGGTTCTTAACTTGTTCTTCAGTAAATTCTGGTCAACACTTTACAAGTCTTAAGACTTCCGCTGTCTTACTAGTCTACCATTCCAGTAAAGATCCTAGGCTAACACTTGAGGTTTTCCAAGTGTTCGTGTTTGCAGATTCTATACTTAGTCTCCTGCAACTTCTGTCAAATTATTACATGGTATGAGAGCTGTATGGAATTAAGACTACTGTCAACAGTGACTGGAACAACACCAGCACAATCTACCGGATCTAGTTCCGGAACTACTGGAGTACTTGTCTCCTCGACTGCCACTGGTCTCTCAGCCTCTGGACCATTTCCACCGGCTTATGCGCACATCGGTATGCAGCAGCAGCATCAAAATCCTCCTTCTATCAGTACTCCAGGGATTTCATCGACTACCCCTGCAGCGCAACAACAGCAAACACAGGAAACAACACAACAACAGGCAACATCACAGCAGTTTTCAACTCAGTCAATATCATCAGCGTTTAGTGGAATGAGCCTTGACGGCTCAATTTACATGCGTGGAGCACCAGCTCCAAGTACTGGCTCATTTGCATTCTCACCTTTTACGCAGCAGTCGCAGTCTCAGCAACAGCACCCCTTTTACATCTTCGGGCATTCACCTACTCAGCAACAACAACAGCAGCAGCAACAGCAACATCAGCAACAACAACAACAGCAGCAACATCCACAGCAATTTCAACAACAGCAACAGCCTCAACAACAGGGTATTGTTTTTCAACCGCCAAATTTACTTAACAACACACAGATCAAGACCACTATACCTTTTAATGGAGTTGATTTTTACTCCTGGAGCTTCTAGTTTGAACTTCTGGCGCAGTCTACCGGGTTTTGGCCATTCTTCACCGGCGAATTCACATATCCTGTTACGGGAACACATTTGGAGTAGCAGCGTTTCTTGCACGCCTCTCTCGGGCCGTATACGGTTCTCGTTCGAAACTTGTCGGCAAAGGAGCAGCTCGGCGTTTGATATTTTCATTCTAGCTTTATGCCAGCTGAAACTGCATGGAACCACTTAAAGGGAGTGTACATGGCAAAGGATACAATCACAGTGAGTAAGATTCTTTCGCAGCTGACAAATGTGCAGATGATGACCAACGAGAATGTCATGGATTATGTCAATCGTGTCCGCACACTACGAGATCAATTGGAGAAGAGTGGTAGATACTTCCCTCGTGAGATGTATCTCACGGTCCTTCTTGCTGGACTTGGTCCCGAATGGCGACAGATGCGCGCATTCTTGCGCATGAATCCGAATCTCTCCGAAGCCGAGATTTCCTCGTATCTTCAAGCAGATCAGCAAGATCTTGACCTGCAGTCACAACGCAATCAGAAAAAGGGGATACACTTACGTTTTTACTCCAATCCAGAGTCGCAACAACGGCTTCCCCAGAAGTATACCTTTTGTCATTTCTGCAAGAAACCAGGACATACTTACCAAACTTGTCGCAGTCGACATCAAAACCGTCGCAGTACTTCACAACCATATCCTCGTTCGCAGCAGTTGCCGAAGTCACATCCGCCAACGCAGCAGTCGACGTCCCATACGCAGCAGATGCAGAAACCACCACAGAATACACCTTCATCACAGCATCGTCCTCCGGATTTTCCATCTGCAACATCAGGAAAAGGAGTTTTTGGTTGTGTTACGATAGTTGATGTTTCAGATACAGATTTCGAGACACAACTTGAAGAAACCACCAGTGCAGAGAGCATTCCCTTACCTCAATTTTATGCTAACCTTGCTCGAGTCATTTCAGGACCCAATACTTGGTATCTCGACAGCTGTTGCGGTTGGCATATGTGCTCCGCTGAAACAAGCTTCATCACCAATCAGCGTCTACTTCGTCGTCCAATACCTGTAACAGTTGCAAACGGACAAACTATCATGGCCAGATCAATCGGGAATGTAATGCTCGAGTCCGTCGACACGGGATATTCCTTACACGTTCTTATCGTCGCCGGCCTTGGTTTCAATCTTCTCTCCACAGCTCAGCTCCTGGCACACAAGATTCGCACACAAGGCAATTGTGATACAATGGATCAGGAGTTATGGCACAGTTTGACAAACACTTTCCTCGGTCGCGCTGCTACTCAACATGGTGTGTCCGTTCTTCAGTTCACGGCACAGGGCACCTCGGCCGATTCTGAACGCGTCCTCGCTCTTGGTCCCTAGGATCATCCCGAAGAAACGTATTATCAACAAGTTGATATTGATTTTCGTGCAACTACTGTACCCACGACTTCTCGAACTGCAGCTGCCGTTCTTACCGCTCTTGATACTTGGGAGTTCAATACCGCTGATGAAGGCGCCAACGCTTGGCGAACGTTTTATGACACTCGCGCTGCCTTCCAAGGAACTCCAGCTCCACTTTGGGGCGAAATCAGTGGACTAGCAGCTGATGAACCCGAAGTCGTCGAGGGAGCCGTGAAAGCAGAAGTAGCCGAGAAGCCGAATCTCCCCGTAGCTATCGCAGGACCATCTACCATCACATCAACAACTTCCGTATCAGATGTTGCAATCGCAACTGCAGCAGAACCTTCAACCATACAGTTACCACTTACCCATTTCGTGAAAGGGGAAAACGACATGTCTCCAGCTCTTTCTCCTTTCATCGTTTGTTCGTTTTATACTAACGCCGATTTCTTTCTGCGATCATCAGGACACAAAGCCACAGAGGACATTTGGCATCAACGGTTAGGGCATCCATCGCAAGGGATTTTAAATCATTCAATTTGAGCAGCAGTGCTTGATAAAAGTAGTCTCGCCCAACGGTTTGCATCACGTATCCGGTAGCCAATCTTAACCACGACCCGTTTCCGAGTCATTTTTCTGGCTCTACTCGTTATAAACTGATGCAGAAAGTTTACAGTGATATTCTCAACTTACCTGAAGCAGGACCTAAAGAGGAGCGGTACGTGATTACCTTTATCGAAGCATCTACTTGCTACATTTGGACAGCCAACCTTCCTGCTCGATATCTCGCCCATTCGGTCTTCGTCGCATGGCTCGCCGTCGCTGAAAGGGAGTCTGGAGCTAAACTGCAGGAATTTAAGAGTGATGGCACAGGAGAATACACGAGCAATGCCTTCACAGACTACCTCCAAACCCTCGGCATCAAACGGAAGCAGTCTCTGCCACATGCACACCAACAGATGGGGGTAGCAGAACGGATGAATCGAACTCTGCAGGAGAAGATGCGTGCTCTGCTGACTCAGGCAGCTCTTCCTCATTTTGGGCCTTACGCGATGGACCACACCGTTCTGTTACACAACCTATTGTCTTCCATGTCACTGCCCGAGTTTTCTTCACCTCACCTGCAGTGGACACGTACAGTGGGAAGTATAAAAATCTTACGCGTTTTTGGGTGTGTCATGCAGTTTCGACCTCCGACTGCCGCACTCGGCAAATTTTCTGAACGGGCAAAATGGGGGGTACACCTCGGCATCGAAAAACAGTATCACGCATGGAAGATTTTGGATCTTCGTTCAAACCAAATCGTCCCTTCACGTGATTGTCTCTTCTACGAGCAACTCACCTTGCCAGTTTTTCGTGCCCACCAGGCAGCAGCTGCTAACCCTGCCAGGCTGTTCGAAGGTTCGCGTGCATTTGCAACCGACGAAGCTGAAGCTGATGTACAGGATGAGGCAGTTTCTAAAGCCTCCGAAGCTGCCGCAACAGACATTCCCGAA